TGTAAAATATAAGACTACAAATGCTGTATATAATAATTAAAGCTTATTAAAAATATCTAAGTCCAATGTTCAATCAAACCTCTACTTAAATTCATGTTATGTAAGAGATAAGACTAGAGATGATATATGTGTAATAATTAAATGTTATTAAAACTATCTAAGGTCAAAGTTCAACCAAGCTTCTACTTAAATCAATAGGATTCTCTTAAGCTATTGATCTGTTCTTGGTAGCATTTACAAGTACCAGCCTTAAGAACAAGAATATATGTCTAATCCAGATTTATTTAAGCCTGTTTAGTTTTTGCCCAAGGTTTATGTATCTATAACCACATTTAAAGGCCTATACCTACAGAAAGCCTAAAAGGGCACTATTTAACTCTTGTTCTCCAAGGTCAACTAGCTCCCAGGGGACTGTAGGACATCTCTTGAAAGGCTCTGAAGCTCTGGCAAATCACTTGTCCTCCTGTACAAAGAGTCCATGAGGCCCCCCCAAACTGGATTCTAAGATGTATACATTCTACAAAGAGGAGTGCTGTGGGATGTCTTTCTGTACGCTGTGAATATGTGTGGCTCCTATTGGCTAATAAATAAAGCTGCATTGGCCTATGGCAGGGCAGGATGGAGCCAGGCGGGAAAATCCAAGGGAGATAATGGAAGGAGAAAGGCAGAGTGAGAGATGCAAGCCGGCCGCCCAGGGAGCAACATGTAACAGGACACAGGTAAAGCCACGGAACAGGAGGCGATACATAGATTAATAGCTATGGGTTGAGTTAAGTTATAAGAGCTAGCTAGTAAGAAGCCTGAGCCACAGGCCATGTAATTTGCAATTAATATAAGCCTCTGAATGATTATTTTATAAGTGGCTGCAGGACTGCTGGGCCGAGCGGGACCGGACAAACTTACGGCTACAAAGGAGCGTCAACACAGAAGGATATGCCCTCAAGTGCTTCCGAGGAGAGCCCTAGTCTGCAGGGCCTTGACTCATCCTCAGCAGTGACACAACTGGTTAAAAAAAAGTCTAATGGGGCCTTGGAGAGATGGCCCAGTGGTTAGGAGCACTTGGGAGCACTTGTTCTCAGAGAGGACCTGGTCAGTTCCCAGCACCCACGGGGTGGTTCACAACCATTCATAACTCTAGTTCCCGGGGATCCTATGCCCTCTTCTGACCTCCACAGGCACCAAGCATGCACAGTAGCACGTGCTACTGAGAGCCAGGTGGAGATCCCCAGTTGTAATTAGATGAGAAGATAATCATGCTTTTCCTAACTGTAAACAAAATGTTGTTTGCATGTAGTTGGACTTTCTTTGGAACTCCAGCTTCCAAATAACAATACGGAGACTTCTTATTAAGTATGAAAGCTTGGCTTTAGCTTAGTCTGGTTCCCAACTTGCTCTTATAACTTAAATTACCCCGTTTATAATAGTCTGTGTTCCACCACGTGGCTTATTACCTCTCCTCCATACTGTACATTAGACTTGCTGTATGTCTTGCTGGTGAATCCCGCCTCTCTTCTTCCCCGAGATATCTGCTCAGAAGTCCTGCTTATTCTCTCCAGCATAGCTATTGGCCATTCAGTTCTTTATTAAACCAATCAGAAGGTTCTTTGGCAGAGACACATTCGTAGTATGCAAAAAGATTATCCCACAACATTTGTATAATCCTGATAATTCTGCTAATGTCTTTTTTGCTTTACAAGGTCTACAAAGAGACCAAAATTACATCAAACACCCTCATCCTGTCGGTGAACAAGGTTAGAATAGAATCCCTGGATCTTTTTTTTCTTTTTTTTTTTTTTCTTTTTTGGTTTTTCAAGACAGGGCTTCTCTGTGTGGTTTTGGTGCCTGTCCTGGATCTCACTCTGTAGACCAGGCTGACCTTGAACTCACAGAGATCTGCCTTGCTCTGCCTCCTGAGTGCTAAGATTAAAGGCTTGCACCACTGCTGACTGGCCCAAATCCCTGGATCTTTGCAGTAAAAAGTGGACTATAGCTATTAGACTCTTGGTATTGACTCAATTCATCTTTGGACTCATGTTCTCAGCTTATCTGTTACAGTCTTGGTAGTGAGACCATTAATCTTCGGACTTTGTGTACTCAATCGATTCTTAATTTTATATACTCTTGTTGACAGCCAATCCACAGTTAGCTGACCCTGTGACAATTTAACTCCATCTATCTGGGTCTCCTCATTTGCCCCCCAATGCCTAGAATTCAGCAAGAGTAGAGATCCTAAACCCTTATGTGTCCCAACTTCAATCAGAAATTCCCAGATTGACTTGATGTCCATCTCCTAAGTGATTTTAGGGTCTCACCACTTCAGGGAAAATGTTAGATAGCAAGACAGACATTGGTGGGCATGGATGGAGGCTACTGAGAAAGGACCCCCTTCCCATGAACTTGGCATGCTTCCCTCTGACATTTGGACTTATTTTTAATTTTTACTTTTTTTTTTTTAAAAAAAATTATGTGCATTGGTGTTTTGCCTGCATGTATATTTGTGTAAGGGTGTTGGATCCCCTGGAACTCGAGTTACAGATGGTTGTGAGCTGCCATGTGGATGCTGGAAATTGAACCTGGGTCCTCTGGAAGAGCAACCACTACTCTTAACCTCTGGGCCATCCCTCCAGCCCCATTTTGACCTTTTTACTCATTGTCTGAAGCTCCCTTGTCTTCTGCCGTGTGGCTGCTCACGGACCTTCATTACTGAAACTGCCTGCTTCCTAATGAAAAGGCACGGTTTTCTACTCCACTTTTTTTTTTCTTCAATTTTTGTATCTTAGAGACCAAACGCTTCTATCCAGAACATCACTGGAAGAAGACATGTTGACAGCATCCTTTCGCAGAATTTCTGATACCAGAAGTTGCTCCAGGACAGCTGTGCCCTCCCCCCAGAACCCCGCCCCAGGGAGGATATTACCTTTGTCCAGTAGGAAAGAGCTACAAGAATGACAACTACCCCCTTCTCCACCCATCTGTAGGAACAAAAATGAGGACTGTTAGCCAAGGTGTTTTGTAATGCTCCTCTATTTTGGGTAAGTGGAGATAATTTACATTTCTAGAACTAACTTGTTCCTCTGGATTCTTGCTGTTCATACCTTATTAACCCCCTGTAATGGCCCACCAGGAAAAATGTTTATCGATCACCTAACATTCTTCAACTGGTTACCCTCACAATGTCCAACTGTCCCCTACAAGGAAACTTTCCTCTTTGCTGACCCTCCTGTTAGGAAACTGTAAGATGGGACTGCCACTCTGCCATGTGGTCTGGACTCACCCCGGGGATGCTGCTGTCCATCTGTCTTTCTACAGCATTAGTAACTCTTCAATAATCTCTAAGCAGACAGTCTGCCTCAGAGTCGCCTTTGAATCTGAAACCCCAGGCCTTTTACTGGGGTCAGATCAAGAACTTTGCCCAGGCACAAGAGCTTGGCAGAGCTCTGCTACTGAGCGGCATGCCCGGCCTCGTTTTGGTCATTTTAAATTGGCTACTGGTCTGTTAGGTTTCTTTGTGTAGCTTTGGAGCCTGTCCTGGAACTCGCTTTGTAGACCAGGCTGGCCTTGAACTCACAGTTTCCCCTGGCTCTGCCTCCCGAGTGCTGGGATTAAAGGCGTGTGCCACTGCCTGGCTGAGTTCTACATACATTTTTAAAAATATAGTTTTACATAGTCTATATACAAGTACCTTATATTAGATAAGACTTCCCAACATGTCCTCCCTTTTTATGAGCTGTCATTTAGTTTACTTGATAGCATTCTTCGAATAAATATTTTTTAAATTTTGACAAAGTTGGGTTTATGAGATGGTCAACAGGTAAAAGTGCTTGTGGCACAAACTTGACGATCATAGTTTGATCCCTAGATCCCATGGTGGAAGGAGAGAACTGACTCATAGCATATACCTGCCCACACTCATACTCACACATCATGCATCACTCCTATGCACAGTAATAAAAATAATAAGAAAAATAAAATTTAATATTGACAAAGCTCAAGTTACTTTTTTTTTTGTCTTGACTCTTTTGCTTTTGTGGTTGTATTTATTACTCTTGCTTTTAATTGTCACAGTTGTTTTGTTTGAGAGAGAGACAGACAGACAGAGAGAGAGAGAGTTGAACTCACCTCTCTATTTGCATGCAGAGGGTAGAGGTCAATGTCAGGTGTCCTTTATTTTTCACAACCTTATTTATTGAGACAGGGCCTCTCACTGACCCTGGAGCCTCTTGTTTAGATTAGAATGGCTGACCAGTGAGTACTTAGAATCTATCTCCACTTCTCAGTGCTGGGATTACAGGCATGTTCTTACAAGGTCTGTCTTTTTACGTAGGTTCCAAACTCAGGTCCCCATCAGGCAGTGGTGGCACACGCCTTTAATCCCAGCACTCAGGAGGCAGAGCCAGCCTGGTCTACAGAGTGAGATCCAGGACAAGCATCAAAACTACACAGAGAAACACTGTCTTGAAAAACCAAAAAAAAAGAAAAGAAAAGAAAAACCCCTCCAAACTCAGGTCCTCATTCTTGCATAGCAGGACCTTTTCCCACAGAACCACCTTCTCAGCCCACTGTTTTTCAAGTTTCCAAACTCAGAGTTAGCACAATTGTGTTATTTACTTTCTTGTATTGTGTTTAAGTCTTCAATTATGTATGGATTTTAGTTTTATTGTTTCTCCAGAAAAATTCATGGAAAACCATTTAATTATTTTAATTTATCCAAACACCATAGAAGGCCACCTTTTCTCACTGATTTATTTATTTACTTATTTATTTTTGTTTTTTTTGAGACAGGGTTTCTCTGTGTAGCCCTGGCTGACGTGGAACTCACTCTGTAGACCAGGCGGGCCTCAAACTCACAGAGATCTGCCTGCCTCTGCCTCTCAAGTGCTGGGATTAAAGGTGTGTGCCATCACCACCTGATTCGAAGTAACATTTTCACCTTATTATCTATTCTATTCTGCTTTTTTTCAGCACTGAGATGGGACCCAGGGCTGCACACCTGCTAGTTAAGAGCTTTGTTATTAAGTTATAGTCTCAGCTTTTTTGTTTTTTGTTTTTGTTTTTGGTTGGGGACTGAAAGATAGCTTGCCCGTAAAAGCAATTGCTACCAAGCTTGATGACCTGCCCCATTTGGTCTGAGGATTCACAGAGGTAAGAAGTCTCTAGTGTGGTGGCTGCTGCTCTGCTTCTCTGATCTTTCAGCTTTCACGCTAATATCTGACTTGGGGTTTTTATTGTTAAGACTAGTTAGGATCGCATACAGAGTTGGATCTCTGGAACCCACATGATAGAAGGAGAGAATCAACTCCCACAAGTCATCACCTGACCTCCATACATGGGCAGTGGCACAGGCATGGCCACATGTGTACACATATGTGTGCATGCATACACAAAGAGATAAATGTTTAAGAATTAAAAAAAAAAATCTGAGACAGGTTGCTATCACTTCAATGTAAAATGTCCCCCATAGGCTCATGTTTTGGAACACTTGGTCCCAGCTGATGGTGCAATTTGAGGACGTTATGAAACCTTCAAGAGGTGGAGCATGGATAAGGAAGTAGACTGCTAGACTATGAAATAAGGAATCCGGGGAAATGGAATTTCTCCCCGGATTTCTGTGCTTTGAGAAGAGGAAGCCTGAATGAAGCCTTGTGCCATTAGGAGGGAGAACTTGAGTGCTGGCTAGTTTTATGTCAACTTGACACAAGCTAAAGTCACTGGAGAGGAGGGAACCTCAATAGAGAAAACTCCTCCATAAGACTGGGCTGTAGGCAGGCCTGCAGAGCAGTGGTTCTCAACTCTCCTGATGCTTCAATCCTTCAATACAGTTCCTCATGTCGTGGTGACCCCCAACCATAAAATTAATGTTGTTGCTACATCATAACTGTAATTTTGCTACTGTTATGAATCATAATGTAAATATCTGATGTGCAACCTTGTGAGAGGGTTGTTTAACTCCCAAAGGGGTCATGACCCACAGGTTGAGAACCACTGCTATAGAGTTTTGTTTGTTTGTTTGTTGTTGTTGTTGTTCTTAATTAGTGATTGATGAGGGAGGGCTCAACCTGCTGCAGGTGGTGTCTCCCCTGGGCTGGTGGGCCTAGGTTCTATAAGAAAGGTTTTATGAGCAAGCCAGGAGGAGCAAACCTCCATGGCCTCTGCATCAGTTCCTGCCTCCAGGTTCCAGCCCTGTTTGAGTTCCTGTCCTGACTCCCTTCAGTGATAGACCATAATATGGAAGTGTGAGCCAGATAAACCCTTCCTCCCCAGCTTGCCTTTGGCCATGGTGTTTCATCACAGTCATAGAAACCCTAGTAACTAGGACAACCTGTCTCCCAGAGACATTTCACAGTGCCAGTAACTTGTCATATTACCTTGCAGGATGAGACTGCAGCTCAGTGATGGGTGGAGCCACACCTTGACCTGGACTGACCCGGACACATCCCTCTGGACCTCTGCTTAATCCTCATGTCTGGACCCAGTAGATGGAATGGGGGTAGGGTTCACTAAATCTCTCTGTCCCTCTTCCCAGTGTGGCTACATTGAATACAACTTCTTCTTCTTCTTCTTCTTCTTCTTCTTCTTCTTCTTCTTCTTCTTCTTCTTCTTCTTCTTCTTCTTCTTCTTCTTCTTTCTTTTCGCTTTTTATTTGGTTCTTTTAATTGTCGTATAGAGATGAGCAGCTGAGCCTGGCCTGCTAGGGCAGCCAGAGGCCAGTAACGTACACTTACATTTACCTCTCCTTTTTCCTTTTGCTGGAGCTTGAACACAGGCCTTTGTGTGTGCTAGGCAAACGCTCTGTCACAGAGCCACACCTCTAGCTCCTGTTTACCTTTTGAAACTCGAACATACTTATTACCTGTTAAACACACTGGCAAACGCTGGAAGGTGGAAGAGTGAATCTTCTGAGACCAGGCAGCTGAGCCCGAGGAGGAAAGCATCCTTCCTGTCAAGGCCTGCTGATCCAGAGCTTCCCCCAGAGGGAAGCAAAGGAAGGGGAAGCAGCTGATCTCAGGGTGGGAGTTTTGCCACAGAATGCTGACAACCAGGCTAGAGGATAAAGGTTCCTAGCTTTGCGATAACTTTCTGGAACTTCCCAACTCCTCAGGGTTAGTCCTGGGAAGGGAAAAAGAGAACGAGGGCTGTGATAGACTTAGAAATCTGTCTATCCCTTAGTGAAAGGAAGAGACTAGGTTTATGAAGATATAATGTAACCTATAATATACTAATAGTTTATTACATTATATAACAGATATATTATATATCATATAGATAGATTATATTAATATATTTTATATTATATAATAGATCTAATCAGGTCAATGTCACTCTGTTTCACTGTTGGAATAGGGAAGTTGGAGGCAGATCCACCTTTCCTTCTCTGGGACATTGAGTTAGAAGCTGTCATGCTGGGTTTTACAGTCCTTAACTTATGGTTCTACCCAATCCCTGGCTCCTCAATGCCAGCCCATACTAAATCACATGGTGTAAAACTTCCTCTAACCCCCGCCCCCCAAAGGATCTGAAAGTCAGTTCTTTTCCTTTTGAAGGCTCTGCTCTGGGCCTCGTCCCATCATACTGCCCACGATGGCTCTCTTTTACTATTATTTTAAGCTATTTCTCTTTTTTGGTGGGGTGGGGCAGGGTTTTTCTGTGTAGCCCTGGCTGTCCTGGAACTTACTCTGTAGACCAGGCTGGCCTCAAACTCTGAACTCAGAGTTCCACATGCCTCTGCCTCTGCTCTCCCAAGTGTTGCAATTAAAGGCATGTGCCACCACCCCGGCTGAGCTATTTGTCTTAATAACATTCCTCTCCAGGTTTTAAAGGAGACCCTCCCCTTCTCTGTAAGGTCTCCTCATGCTGTCTTTTTATAGAAAGTACTTTTCTTTTCTATTGCTCTTAACAGGTCAAAGCCAGGCCATGACTCTTGTCGTTGAGAGGCCCTCTCTCCTAAGAAAGCTAATTCCCGAAGGGTAATTTTGTGGCGGCTCCTGTCCAGGACCACCCCCTTGATGCCTTTTTTTTTTTCTAACAGGAAGGAGAATGTACCCCAAACAGGGTAGAATTTTCCCTTTTACTCTTTCCCGAGGAACAGATGCATGTTTGCCGTGGTGGCTTCTTGTTTGAATTCCACTTTTTAAAAATAAAAGCAGTAAAACAGCCTTGCAAGTAAAGAGTGATTCTCCTGGAGAAGCATCTCACACATAATACATCTTGAAATAAGTTACAGAGCACAAGTGTCAGGACCCAGTAGATGGAATCGGGGGAGGGGATCTCACCAGATCTCTCCGTCTAAGACAGCCCGGGGAGAGGATTTTCTAATCCATACAAGTATTGGTTGGGCTGGAGAGATGGTTCAGTGGTTAAGAGTACAGACTTCTCTTCCACAGGACCTAGGTTCAATTCCCAGCACACACAGGGCAGCTCAACACTGTCTGTAACTCCAGGGAATCTGACACCCTCTAAAAAAAAGTATTGGTACTAAAAATTGATGTTGAAAGTGTTTCAAACAATTTTGCCTTTTTTCTTAACATTTCCTTCCTTCCTTCTTCTTCTTTTTCTTCTTTTTTTTTTCTGAGACAGCTTCAAAGGCAGACAGTTTAATAGCCCTGGCTGTCCTGGAACTCACTCTGTAGACCAGGCTGTCCATGAACTCACAGAGATCTGCTTGCCTCAGCCTCCCGAGTGCTGGGATTAAAGGCCTGTGCCACTACTGCTGACTCTTAACATTCCTTAAGAAGCAGATCTCATTTCTTTTTTTCTTTTCTTTTCTTTTTTTTTTTTATATTGAAAGATCTCATTTCTAATGTCTAGAAAGTATAACCTCCTGTATCATCTCTGCTTCTGGACCTGCCCAGGTGTGAGGAAGCTCCAGCTGAGGATTCTGCAGCTGGCACCATGCGAAGAACTTTAACTGGCAGTCTGTTGCTGCACCTCCTCTAAGCATTTGTTAAGAACTTGAAAAAAATTAAAGCATTCACTAAAAGAAAGCTACAGACCAATATTCTTCATGAATACAGACGCAAAGACTCTAGAAACTATTACCAGGACTCATGAGATGGCTCTTAGAGGCTCTTGCCACCAGGCTTGACGACCTGAATTTGATCCCTAGGATTTACAAGGAGGGATTAATGGTGGTAGGCATAACCACGCCCAAAACATTTTAATCTAGTAAGTTTACTTATCATATTGATGACAAATTCACTCCTGTCACTTATGAATATTCATCTCCAGCTGAGTATTTTCACATTGTAACACATTCTAGAAGGGTCCTCTGCCCTCAGTTCACACTGATCACTGGCTGAGAGATCTGAGCGAGAGAAGACAATTTTCACGCTGGGTTCAAGACTGTCATCCGGCAGAGAGGTCTAGTCTCCTGGCTTATAGTATAGTCCTCCTCTGAAGTCCTATCATCTACCCACATCCCTTTGATAAAGATGGCGAGGGTCCCTGCTGCTAGAGGAAGTCCTAACCACTCTCCTGTTGACCACCTTTGAAATCCCAACTCCAGTCTCCAGACCCTGAAGGCTTATCTACTTTTTTGTTTGTTTTTAGAGACAGGGCTTCTCTGTGTAACAGCCCTGGCTGTCCTGGAACTTGCTCTGTAGACCAGGTTGGCCTTGAGCTCACAGAGATCCACCTGCCAGAGTGCTGGGATTAAAGGGTGTGCCACCACCACCCAGTTACTTTTTCTTTTGAAGGACTCCAGATGAACTTTTTCAACCTCTCCCTTTGCCAGAGGCTCTCCTATTCTATCCTCTCAAGGTCTTTAAAAACATGTGCTTTCCTGTACGGAGGTAGAAAGGAAATGATGAGAATACTTTAACTAAATCATCGTATGAATGACAAAGGTATTTTTATCATCATTTAAAATTCAGTGTTTTTCGGCACTGTTCACAGACAAACTGCATGAGAACCAATGGAAACACTTGCTAAAAATATTGATTTCTGGTTCTATATCTGTACCTACTGGTCTCACATGTGAGGCAGGGAATCCTCAGAAGATTCACGAGTAGTGAGGTCCATTTTGAACTATTCATTTATCAAATAGATTCAGAGAGCTTGTTTTCACTGCTTTTGGTAATAATGTCTTCTAGAAATTAAATTACACACACACACACACACACACACAAAGGCATATTATATGTGTCTATGTCTGTGTGTCTATGCGAAGCAGGAACTGGAAGGACCATTTTGCCAAGCAAATTTCAGTGGTCACCTTCCTATGGGTCCTGTATGTCCAGTCGATCAAGCAGTTCAGGCAAGAACAGTTTTTTGCCCAAATGGCTATTTTTGCCAAGAAGAAGATAAACTCCATATAGAGTATCTTTGATGCCCATCCTCCTCTCTGAAAACAAAAAATTTAAATGAGTTACATAAACATAATACCTCGAAACAAGAGTAGAAATTTACATACAGTGTAACAAAATTAAGTTTAAACTTGTATCAATAAATTAAAATCCATAGCAATGTAAAACATTTCTAAACAAGTTGTTGCTCTTTAAAAGAAGGTTCATTAATCTACCCTTTCATCCTATCATTATCTATTACTATCCCCTTTTCTTCTTTAGAAAGAGATTGCATTTATAATCAACCTGCTTTAAATAAAAATATTGGTTTTTCTCTGTCCCACACCAGAGGGCCCTTCTGATGTGGGACAGAATAATCTCTCTACTATGTTAAAGTTAAAACCTTCCTTTTTGAAAAAAAGAAAAGGAGAAGTGCTGTGGATGTCATTCTGTATGCTGTGAAAATGTGTTGCTCTGATTGATTGATAAATAAAATGCTGATTGGCCAGTAGCCAGGCAGGAAGTATAGTATATGCGGGATGAGCAGAGAGGAGAATTCTGGGAGTGGAAGGCTGAGACAGGAGACACTGCCAGCCACCGCCACCACCATGAGAAGTAAGATGTAAAGTACCAGTAAGCCACAAGCCATGTGGCAACTTATAGATTGATAGAAATGGGTTAATTTAAGGTATAAGAACTGGATAGCAGAAGCCTGAGCCATTAGGCCAAACAGTTTAAATAATATAAGCATCTGTGTGTTTATTTGGGTCTGAGTGGCTGCAGGCCCAGGAGGGACTGGAGATAACTCCAGCTACAAACACTGGCTTCTTCCTTGGTGAGTTTTTCCTTCATTAGTCAGTGTAAACAGTTTCCTGGACCCGTGGGAATGACCATCAATCATCCAGCGTCACTCTGGTGTCCTTGGAACTGGGGGTACCCCTGTCCATGGTCTTTAGTGGCTATGATCAGCCCCCATTGCTGACTATCACCCCTGGCCATTCCCTATGACTGCGGTCTGAGGCCTTGTTTTGGTTTATTTCTTGTCTCTCAGACCCTCATCCTCAGGCTACCACCCCGGCCCTCGCTCTTTGCTCGATAGAGCACTGAGCGACTTGTGCCATTATTGATCCTTACTTAGTCTCTGGGATGCCTGAGATATTATAGCCATTAGATCTTGTTTATTTTTTTTCTTTCCTTTTTTTTTTCTTTTTTCTCTTTGCCGCAGCCATGGGAAATAAGACCTCCAGTCCCATACAGAAGCCCACATCTCCTCTGGGATGCCTTTTGGAAACCCTCAAACCTCTCAGCTTAATACCCTTCTTACAGACTTCCAAGCTTTTCCACCTCTGCACTAAAAAATGGCCTAAATATCCCTTAGATAACAATAAAATATTGGCACCTAATGACTCGCTGGACCCTGATATTTTACGGGAGTTATCTAACTTCTGTCAGCGAATGGGCAAATGGAAAGGGTCACCTTATATCCAAACTTTTCTCTGTCTCAGCTCCAGACCCTCCCTTCTCGATTCCTGTTCACCTGCCCACCTGCTCCCAGCTGTGCAACCCGACCTGAGGAACCTCTCACTGCTGCTTTAGACCCTGCCAATGAACCCTGCCGTCCCGACCTCCTGCTCCTTCTTCTCTAGCCACTGTTCCTTCGGCTCCTCTGGCCCCTCCCTCCTCTCCAGTACTGGGCCGCTCCAACCGCCCGACTCTGGCCCCCACCTCCCCTCCCCCTGCCATGAGTTCTCGAACTGCTAAGGAACCCCACCCCTGTCAAACCAACCTGGTGGCCATCCTCACCTTGTGAGAGGTAGTCGGGGTGGACTGACTGGTAAGGTTCATGTCCCTTTCTCACTGGCAGAACTCTCTCAGACAGAAAAGAAACTGGGTTCTTATGTGTCCAACTCTACCTCTTTATTAAACAATTCCAATACATCACCCAAGCCTATGGTCTCATCTTTGTAGCATGAATCTTAAAGAGTCTTTATTAATAAAAACAAACCCGGACCCAGGTATTGAGGTAAACTGGAAGATCAGAGAGACAGAACAAGCCACAGCTAACCTCACCTGGCCAACTTCTCAGCTGGTCTTGTTTCCTCAGACTGGATGCTTCTGTGTCCTCATCCCAATGGCTCTCAGCTGAACTGCTGCTCAAAAGCCTGAAGCTTAACCATCTAAAAGCTTAACCAGCCAAATGCTTCTAGTTTCTGGTCCTCACGCCTTATATACCTTTCTGCTTTCTACCACCACTCCCTGAGATTAAAGGCTGGCTTTCTGGGATTAAAGGCTTGTGTCACCATGCCTGGCCATTTCCAATGTGGACTTGAACTCACAGAGATCCAGAGGGATTTCTACCTCTGGAGTGCTAGGATTAAAGGTGTGAGTGCCACCATTTTCTAGCCTTTGTATCTAGTGGCTGTTCTGTCTCTGACTCCAGATAAGTTTATTAGGGTGCACAATATTTTGGGGAATACAATACCACCACACATCTTTTGTAATATATATATATCATCCTAACTAATAACCTACTTCCTGTGGAGCACAGAGGAGTCTGGGAACAGGCTAGGAGACATGTAGATGAGGTCCACCAGACTAAGGCAGCCTATCCTCCTGGAGCTGAGGCGGTCCCCGATCAGGATCCATGGTATGATTGTAACACCCCAGGTGGCTCCCTAGCTAGGCATCAGTTTACTACCTGCCTCCTAGCAGGTCTTTGTAAGGCTGCCCTCAAACCAGTAAACTATGAAAAGCTTCAAGATATAGTTCAGGGCAGACAAGAGAATCTGTCTCAATTTCTAGAGTGACTTACAAAGGCCCCCTTACGGTGTACTAATCTAGATCTGAGAGCCCAGAGGGCAGACAGCTCCTTATGACCTATTTCTTTTTGCAGAGTTTCCCCGACATTAGGGCCAAACTTAAGCATCTGGACAGAGGGCCTTTGACCCCACAGGCAGAAGTCTCAGTGCTGGCTTTTAAGGTAGAAATGGGAGAAATGAGAAAGCCCATAAACAGCAATACCAAATTTTGGCCAAGACCATCTGACCAGGTGCCCGAGGGCCCCCAGGTCCTTGTTTTAAATATGGTTGAGAAGGTCACTGGGCTTGTATTTGCCCTGCCCCACATGGGCCACGGGCCATGTCCAAAGTGCCACCAAGAGGGACATGGGTCAGTTGACTGACCCCATGTGCCTCATGATGGGGACATCAAACACAGACCACCCTCCAGCCAACCATATAGGCTTGGCCATGGATGACTCAACAACTGTGATCTCCCACAGGGAGCCTCGGGTAGCCATTACAGTATCGGGGCGATCCATTTCCTTCCTCATGGACACCGGGGCCACTTACTCGATCCTGAGGGAGTTTTGGGGACCCACCTCTCCTTCTTGTCTCCCTATGATGGGGGTAGGGAGACAGCCTTACCTACCTTATCAGATGCCACCACTTAATTGTATTTTCAGGGGTTTCCCTCTCACCCAGTTATTTTTGGTCATGCCAACTTGCCCTGTGGCCCTAATGGGAAGAGATTTTTTTTTTTAGCCAAGGTTGGAGCTTTCATTTTGTTTGCTCCCCCCATTCGCCTGACCCCAGACTCACCAGCAGCTCCTCTCCTCCTCCTCCTCCTGGCCTTTTATCCCACCCCCAACTCAGGGGAATTTCTCCTAATAAACAGGGCCCTGCTCTCCTAAAGTCCAGAGGACACCAAGATCAACTGCCTTGTCTCCAATTCCAGAAGAACGAGGTTTTATCCCCAAATCGTATTCAATCCTACTGGATTGAGCACCCCATATGTTTTTCCTTCCTGATTCCCCCCTCTGCCTTCTCCTGTCTTTACCAACCACATTCTGCTTCATCAGTTTCCCTCTGTGTCTCTAATAACATATTCCAATTTCGAATTAACTACTCAGCTAACTGTTACAGGACCACCAACAGCCATAGCGTGGGAGGCACAAGGACCATCAAATATACTCAGGAGGGAGTTGGCTTGGACCCACCCGGACAGGTCTGATCCACTTCAGCTTGTGGTGTCCAAGCTGTCAGATCCAAGCAGTGATGGATGACTCCACAGGGCTCAAAACAACAGCGAAGACCATCAGCTACCTCAAGAAAAGCCCGTCCTCACCCCCCCCCCAAAATTAACTGACACCTACCAAGTCAGCTGGAAGCAGTTCCCAGAGACACGGAACCCCTATTCCCATTCACCCACCACCCCTAACTTTGTGTGTGTGTGTGTGTGTGTGTGTAATGTTATTATTCCTAGCCACTTCTGGAGTCATGTGACTGTACATGCGCTGTCAGCAGTCCGGCAAAACGCTTAGTCACTCCAGGGCCTCACGTCCCACACAGTCCGTGTGCAGTGTTGTCACATAATCTGCATGCAGCGTGATCACGTAGCTACATAAGCCCATATACGCATGCGCAAGGTGACCTATAAAAGCAGGCTCCACCTGCTCCCTGCTCTCCAGGGGAGCGTGTACCCCCACCCCACCCCACCCCCACCCCGCACCTTTGTTTTCCGCAGGCCTACCCACCTCCACTCTTTCTCTTCCCTAACGAAAACTCTTATCGTGGGTTCCGTTGTACCTCATGTTTTCTCGAGCCTGATAGGTAAATAATGTCGACAAACGAATAACAGTTTCTTTGATTTTTTTTTTCTTTTGTTCAGAGCTGGAAGTTGAACCCAGGGCCTCAGGCGTGCTAATCAAGCATCTTATTTTTACATCCTCAGCTGCCAGAGTTTGTTTCTTGTTGCTGGTGACACACACATTTAACCCTAGTATTTGGGAAATGGAGGTAGGTAGATTAGGAATTAGGGTCACCCTTTGCTGCAAGGTGCAAAAATTTACAAAGTAGGATTTCAGCTGATTATGACAAAGCTAATACCTGGAAGAAGCCAAGGGCCTTCCAGAGGTCAAGCTCAGGCTCAAGGAGTCTTGGTGATATTTGGCTTTTGATTATCAGCCGTTTTCTGCTATGAGTTTCTTGTGTGCTGTTGTAGCTTTTCCATCATTTACTGGGCACCATTTCCCCTCTACTAAAGGAATATTTGGATAACCTTGTGCGCTGACAGGTATGTACAGCCAGAACCCCAGTTCAAGCCTCCCTGTAATTATCGTCATTGGCAGCATCCGGACAGGTCCATCCCCCAGAGGAGGAAAGTACCTTATCAGAGTTACACCTCTGTACTCTCTAAGAACAGAATTAAGCGTCCAGACTACCTGTTTGAGAAGGTCTGGAGGCTGTGCCAATTAAGCTTAACTTCCTCCTTTCCCAAATCTTACCTCTAGTTCCAGATCTCCCTTTAACTATCACCAGAGGCATCTAGCTGTACTCAGGTTGCCTAGCGACTGAACATACCTTCCCCCACCCTGCAGAAAAAATAACAGATAGCTTGGACAGATGGGAGGCACAGGAAAAAACAAGGCAGTTTTATTTTCTCCCATTGACCTAGGAACTTACAGATTCTTAACATTTTCTACCAAACACGTTTAAGTTTATAGTTGAGCACATAAGACCCCTCTTCTTAGATATTGCCCGAATTTAGCCTTTAGTTAATTCATTTCCCCATTGGTCACTTCCCTTTGGGGTTGCAAATGATAATGAATGGTTATTGCCCCTCTATGTGATTCTTATCACCCCTCCATTTGACCCTGGAAGCCTGGCTTTGCACTGCCAAGGGATTACTGCTTGCAAGTGTATATACCGGGACTTCCAGGGCACTGGAGGACAGAGAAGAGAAAAGAGAATGGAAGAAGTAGATGGGTAAGAACTTGAGAGGAACAAACTGAGATGGGAAAGAACTAGACTGAAGGGCTAGAAGAGAGGACTAGAGGAACGAGATGGAAGATGAGGAAGAGCCAGATTGGGAAGAACAAGATGAGGAAGAACAAGATGAGAGAGAAGGAGATGGGAGAGGAGCTGATGTGGGAAAGAACTAGATGGATGAGAATCTAGAAGAGGCAGAACTAAGATGAAGGGATTAAGATAGAACCTAGAGGGGACAGCAGATAAATGTATAGAGAAATTGGGCAAGAAAGGAGCTAAAAATGAGAGCAGAGTATAAGCTTGTAGAGAGAGAACTGGCACAGAATAATGAAGTGTATGAACTAAGGAGTTTTGTGTACATAGATTCATTTCTTTTCATCAAAGATTAATTATCAGCTGGTTGTAGATTCTTCCCGGACCCTGGGAGGGGACTATTGAGGGGCTTGACCCCACAGTCCCCGATAACCCTTGACTACATGGTCAGTTTGAGGCCAGTCTGGGCTACATAAGATCTTGAGCCCCCCCCCAAAAAAAAACAAAAAAACAAAACAAAAAAAAAAACCAACAACAACAAAAAATCCCAAAACAAATAAACAAACAAAACCCCCAAAACCAAAATAAAAAAAAAAATAGGGGCCAGAGAGCTGCAGACAGATGGCTGAGCTTGTAAAAGTGCTTACTTTACCATCAAGCTTGAGGATTTGAGTTTGATCTTTGCATGGCAGGAGAGAACTGACTACTACAAGTTGTCCTCTGACCTCCACAGGCACGCACCCTCAAATAAGTAAATAAAAGTATTTTTTTAAAGCGAAAAGGGAAAAACACAACAGGGGCTCAGAGGGTAAGAGCTCTTGCTGAGCAAATGTGAGGTCTTAAGTTCAAGTCCCCACACCCCCACTAACAGGCAGACAGGCCCCCAGGGCCCCTGTAATTCCGGTTCTGGGGTGGTGATGGTAGAGACAGGCAGGTCCTGGGAGCTTGCTGGCCACCCAGGATAGCTGAAAACAGCCGGCTCCAGGTTCAGTGAGAGACCTTCTCTCAACGGAGTAAGTACGGGAATGGTAGAGGAAGACATGTGACAAGCTCCTCCAGCCTCCTCGTACACATACGTGTGTACACACACATTTGGAAACCACATACCCACACAAAATAAGAAAAATAAAATTAAAACACGACAAAGACCTTGCCTCTTAGTTCTCCTTCAAACCCTATTATAAAACTTGTAGTAAGTTTTCAGAAAAAAAAAAATCCCTGAAATGAATCAAAATGTTTGAATTTAGTGGTTGTGGAAGGTCCTAAGAATCATCAGGGTTTGCTCTCATAGAGACACGTCTAGGAGGGGGAACCTGAAGTGAAGAAATGCCTCCCTTGGGTTGGCCTGTGGGCATGTCTACAGGGCATTTTCTCAATTGCTAGTTGATGTAGGGGGACCCATGCTACTGTGGGCTGGAACATCTCTAGGCATGTGGGCCTGGGCTATACAGGAAAGGTAGTCCAACAAGGCCAGCCTGAAAGCAAGCCAGCAAGCAGCAGGTCCTCTGTGGTCTGTGCTTCAGTCCCGTCCTTGAGTTCCTGCCCTACCTGGTTACCCTGGATGATGGCTTATAACCTGTGAGCCAAGGAAACCTTTTCCTCCCCAGGCTAGTTTTGGTCAGTATTTTATGACAGCCGTCAGGGCAAACTACAACACATAGTTTGTGTAATTAGGGAAGATGGGAAGTGGACGTGGCACATGAGGATGCACACTGTGGATCTCTGTGAGCTCCAGGCCAGCCAGGCTTTCACAGGGACGTATGTCTCAAAATGAATAGGCAAATAAGTAAAATATTAGTGAAAGAGATCGCAAGTTGCTTACGGAAAGTCCAGAGTGGCAGGCTGTGGAAGTAACACGATGAAAACATTTTAGGGCGATCAGCCTATTAGTTTTAACGGCAATTAAAGATAAGAGGCTCACAACTCTGAACATTAACTTGGAATTCCGAACTACCTAGACTTCTAGCAGGGGTCATCTGAAGTTAAGTCCCATGTTAGGTCGTTTAGAAACTAAAACAGTGCAGACAAGCCCTGATCACGGAAGGATTCTATTAGAGATCATTTTGTCAGCAGTGGAGGAAACCTGGGGTGTCTACCTTTGCCCCCAAGTACTACGTCCTTGTGCATAGAGCCCTGCTGGCCAACGACAGCTGCACTTGACCCAGCGACTGCTATGTGCTCAGACCTTCCTTTACACACTCCCATTTAGTGAGCCAAGTGTCTCCACAAGGAAGGGAGAGGTCATCACGCCCATTTTTATCGCAGAGCCATTTGGAGCCTAAGGGGAACCAGAGTCCCAAAGCTGTAACCCCGGGACTGCAGTTCTGGTCGCGAAGATGGAGCTTCCGGTGACTCGGGGGACGCAGGGTGGCGGGAAGGGAAAAGGGACGTTGGAGCCCCGGCTCTCTTCTTTTAGGACCTTGCAAGCCCTTGGGCCCGGAGAAGAGCAGCCTCTCCCGAGGTGACACCTGTCACCCGGCAACGTTTAGGCGCGGGTCCAAAAATCACGGTATCTGATTGGCAAGGTTGGAGGGGCTGGACGGCGCTGATTGGCTAGCCGGACGTCGGACCAGGCTTCACCCGGTTACGGAAGCCGACGAGGGTCGAGCGCGGGCCGGGCCTGAAGGAAGTTAGCGGCAGAACCTCCCCAGGTCGCGGTGGCGAGGGACTCGGACCCCATGGCGACCCCAGAGGCCAGCGGCAGCGGCGGGAACGGCGAGGGCAGCGACCCCTCCGTCACCTACTTCCGGCTGGAGGAGGTGGCGAAGCGAAACTCCGCGGAGGAGACGTGGATGGTGATCCACGGGCGAGTCTACGATATCACCCGCTTCCTCAGCGAGGTGCGGGCCCGGGAGGCGGGAGGCGGCCGCGTGCTGCTGCTGGGGTGAGGGGTGGAGGCCACGCGCAGCCGCGGGGACCGCGACCCTCAGAGGGACCTCCTGCGAGGTCTCAGCCTCCGGTGACGGCGGCGTGCCCATGCAAGTGCATGGAGCGCTTGCAGTAGGCTAGATCACACCCCGAACCATCACCCCGTTTTCCATAAAGAGAAACTGAGGCTCGCAGAAGCCGAGACCTCTCAAGGTCACACACTCAACGACCTAATCCATTGGAACCCGTTTCAGAACTGCTCCTTTACAGAAAGTATTGCCTTAGGGAGCCATGCCCTTGGGGCTTTTATTTTCTTGAGGAGAAGCCGAGTTTTTGTTTTTGTTTTTTTAAGTTAAAAACATTAAATTATGTATCTGTACGAGGGCTTGTGCATCTGCGTTTCGGTACCTGCAGAGGCCTGAGGTCAGAACCCCAGGGGCTGGAGTTACTGGAGGTTGTGAGCCCCTGAGGTGGACTCTGGGTACTGAACGTGGATCCTCTGAGAGAGCACTTTGTGCTCTTAACCAATGAGCACTCTCTCCAGCGGAGCCCAGATTCCTCCCACCCCTGTTACTGATTAAGCAGTTGATTTTTGTTGTTGTTAAAGACAAGCTCTCATTGTGTATCCTTGTCTGTCCTGAGAGTCTATGTAGATCAAGCTGGCCTCAAGTTCAGGGAGATCTGCCTGCCTCTGCTTCCTGAAAGCTGGGGTTAAAGGATGGCCTGATTTTTAAAAATCTTTTCTTCCCCTATTTTTTTTTGGGGGGGGGGGCGCGGTGGTTTTGAGACAGGGTTTCTCTGTGTGGCCCTGGCTATCCTGAAACTCACTCTGTAGCCCAGGCTGGCCTCGAACTCAGAGATCCGCCTGCCTCTGCCTCCTGAGTGCTGGGATTAAAGGCCTGCACCACTGCCACCAGACTTCCTCTCCAGTTTTGAGTTCACCTAGAAGCCATGATTTTTCCCATTTTGCCATTGACTATAGAGTCCCTCACTCTGTTTTTCATTTTTAAAACTTTTGAAGGTACTGGGGATTGAACCTGGGTCTTGGCCATATTAGGCAAGTGTTCTACCGTTAAGCTAAATCTCTGATCCCTTCAAACCTTTTTCTTAGCTCTCTTCAGATAAAAATCTCATTTCACAAGATCTCTTGGAGACCGTTGTGCAACAGATATTTATATATATTTTTTTCTCCTGAGACAGGGCCTGATGTGTCCCATGCTGGCTTTTGTCTCAGCCTCGGTGTCATCTATGTAGACCTCTAACTTCAAATCCTCCTGTGTGTGCCATGCTGGGGATGCAGTCCTTCCTGCTTGTCAGGCACTCTTGTCAACCGAGTTACACCTCTGGCCTTAGGTTTGACAGGTGTTCAGCCATACCATCACCTCTGTCTGAGGAAGCAGCACTTTCAGTCCCCTGAAGTGTATCCTCTTGTTCCTCTGCTGTCCTTCTTAACATCAGGGAACCAGTGATGAGCAGTCACCAAAGATTAGTCTGAAGCTTTGACTTGTGTGATCGTTTTATTTTGTTATAGGATGATACCCTTATGGTTGATATCTGATAATACAGCTTGGTTCTGAGGACAGTTAATTTCTTTTTTTGTGTGTGAGATACTGCATCCGAAGGCCTTGCACATACCAGGCAAACTCTACCTTTGAACTGCTTTCCCAGAGCCACACCTTCCCTTCAGGGTCTCAATATGAAGTTTTGCAAAGAGGACATTACGCTAATGAATTTTTTTCTGGTAGACAATGAACAAAATTCAAGAATTTGGTAATTTCTTACATTTGTATAGTAGACAATTACTACCCCCCACCCTCAAGGCTGGGAAAGGAACTCAGGACCCTCACAAATGCTAGGCAAGTGAAGTATTCTATCCCTGAATGTCATTGCTTGTTTGAGACAGGATTTTGCTCTGCAGCCCAGGTGAGGCACTAAACTCTTTGGAGTCCTTCTGCCTCAGTCTCCTGAGAGCTGGGATGGCCAGTCTGCCACCACATCTGACTCTCAGGTTTCTTCCTTTTTAAACCTTTTAAAATGGTTCTTCAGAGAGAACCCAGGGCATTAGCTGAATGCAGGGCGAGCACTGTACCCCTGAGCCATACCTCCACACCCAGCCCAATTTGTTTTACTTGTTATTTTGAGATAGGATCTTATATAACCTTGAACTCCTCATTCTCCTGTCTCTACCTCCCCAGTACTGGAATTAATGATAGCCATGTAACACCACTCCTGACCAGGCCTCTTTTCTTTTTTCCTTTTCTTTTTTTTTTTTGACATGGCATCTCTCTGTGTAGCCCTGGCAATCCTGAAACACACTATGTAGTCCAGGCTGACCTCAAACTCACAGACATCTGCCTGCCTCTGCCTCCTGAGTGCTGGGATGAAAGGTACCCCAGCTTAATTTTTAAAAAAAACAACTAGTTGAGAGTGACATGATAGGGATACTAGAAACAGTTTCTGTGAGGTTATGATCATATAATTATCTGATGAGTGACAGAGTCGGGCTTAGAAGATCCCTTGATTTCTTTTGTCCACATAGTATCACTTTAAATCCCAGTCTTAACGATGTCTTCTGGTATTTGCCTTCTAATACATTTTCTGTTAAAGTATAGTCCATAATATGGAGGCAGTCCACTTTTTACTTCAAGTTTTGTGGTTTTAATTTTCCCAGAATTTATTGATTGATCATAGACAGTGAATTTGGAAGGGCCCAGGTAAGGAAAGGTTAGCAGCCTATTTCACCATGCACTGATGTAGCCAGAGACAGCATCTGGTAGGCAAGGCTTCCCTTGAAGCTTGAGATACAGATCTTTTTCTGCAGTTAGCTGTTTCTTTGTTGTCTTTTTTTTTTTTTTTTTTTTTTTTTTTTTTAAGACAGGGTCTTACCTGTATTCCAGGGTGGCTTTATGGTACTCAGACTGGCCTTGAATTTGTGACAATCCTCTTGTGTCAGCTTCCTGAGTGCTGAGATGACACGCTTGAACTATCATGCTTATGTTGCAGTTAGCTGTTCCTGGTTAACCTGTTCCATAATCTCTATCCCTGTTTTGTTCATTCCAAGCTTATTCATTCAACTACTTAGGCAAACAGTAAACCTTTGCTTGGTGTCAGATACTGTTTTAGGTACTAAGGATACAGGAGTGAAGAAACAAACACCTGTGCCATCTGGAGTCTACAGGGCCTGGGAAGCAGACAGTAAACAGAGTGAATGGATTGTATTCCATGGTTGGATGTAGATAGGTGCTAAGATGAAAGAGGATGGTGTGGTGTGTGTGAATGTGGTGAGAATAAAGGTGAGGGGCTGACAGTTCGGTAGAGAGGCCAGAGAAAGTGTCATGCAGCTGACCCATGAAGACCAGGAGTGAAGTGAGAGAGCTAGTCAGGAGCATGTCCACAGGGAGAGCATTCCTGGGGGAGGGCACAAGAGCCCCTGAGGTAGAAATATGTCTGGTGTGTTTGGAGACAGTCAGTGAGGCTACAGCGGCTGGATAGACAATCAGAATGGTTAGAGGGCCAAACATGTTCCAGCTTTGTTGGTCTTAGGATGGAGTTTGATTCTTGTTCTGAGATGGGAAATCATTCAAGAAGAAGCATGATATAATGCAATTTAATGTTTAATTGGGTCATTCTGACAGCTCTT